CCACTTGAAGCTCTAACAAAAGGGCTCTACCATTGCAAAATAAGATATACTCCTGTTTACAAACACACGCACAATAAAAAATTCTACTCAGTTATGGGTTGAGAAAGACAATAAAAGACTAAGTTACTGCAAATAAAATGAGAGAGAGAAATTAACGGAGCAATCTTTTTCAAACAACAGTGAAACTTCTTCCATTCCAAAAGCAAGCCAATACTCACCCATCAAGTAATGGTAAACCTTAAACTAAAAAGTCAGCCATCAAGCAATTCATGTAGAAGTTGGAATCAAATGCTCAGCCAAGAGCTTTGAATAATCAATGTGATGTGATAAGCCTCCAGTCAAATGACCAACATCTCAAGAAGGGGATAGAATACCATTATACAAGCTCAAATCAATCTATAACTCACTGGAAAACTTCTAGCATTTCCAATATCTCATTTCATTATGTGAATAATAAAAAGGAAAATCCTGCTACAATAATGTTCATGGAAGAGAGAACTTTTACTTCTATAAAGCTCCCCTCCGATTCTGTAAAGATGCCAGTGCTCTTCCATCGCTCACCAATTAGCTTGTTTAGGTCGTCCGAAGGAAGAGATCTCAGATATTGACCATTCATCCACCTTCGATGTTAAGAAATAAGTTCAATGGAATCAATCAAATGCAATAATGCTCAGCAAGGATAATTATTAGATTAACAAAAATGACATTACTATGACGAAAGGTGTAAAACTAACAATGAATCCCAGAATTCGATATAAGTGGCTGCAGCTATATTGAATTACAAGTGCAATAAAGAATTTTTAATTATGTGTCCAATTTTCAACTTACCTTCAATCCACTATCAGACAATTAGTAGCCAATAAATAAGGCACGATGTCAAAAACTGTCACAAGGATCAAGCAATTTAGGCTGGAAAATAAATTAGCGCCATGTAGAAAGTCTGCATTTCATTTCAACACCTCCATCATTATTAAGGGACAGATATATATACACATTTCTCTCCTACAACTAAACATAAAGATACATGATTAAGCCTAAATGTAGAAAGTCTGCATTTCATTTCGACACCTCAATCATTATTAAGGGACAGATATATATACACATTTCTCTCCTACAACTAAACATAAAGATACATGATTAAGCCTACAATTAAGCGTATAAATCCCAAATATGAAAAACCAAAGTTCTTTATTAATAACTCCACAACTTAGGATAAATAACATGTACTCAACAACCATAAAATTCCATAAACAAATGACCAAAGACAACAACAAGAACACCCTCAAGATCAAAAATTTACACAAAACCCCAGATATCAAACCCAAAAGATAACCCAAAATGCAGTATTGCTAGAAATTAATACAAACTTAACAATCAGATGGGAATGGGACACCACCTAACAATACAAACTTAATATGGAAAAATGAAATTAGCCGGTGTTTAAAGACAAATTAAACAAGTATTCACAAAACCAAATATGGCAAATCAAAATTTAAAGCTTTCAACAAACTTAATTCCATGTATCTATTCCTGCACCCCATCCATTCCTTGTTCTAACTGAAGTGGTCTCGGAATTGATAGTCTGATTTGGTATACCTCGGATGTTCACATCACAAACTTGTATCCAAAAGCGTGTCAAAGGGCATAACACTATCAAGAAACAGGGAACATGCAAGGAGTGTATGACAGAGCTTTGAAGAAGACATTTTATCAGGCTATAAAATGATTTTACCAAATTATACCTTTTACTAAGCAATAAAGTGAGTTTATGAGCATTATTACAGCATCCACGGGAAAACTAGTGCAGCAATTAAATAAAAGGAAGGAATCATCACAGCAAGTACAACACCTACTCAAGTAACCACTACATGGAACATCACAATATAAACATGGAAATAAATTAGAGCACCGTTTCAGCATTGCCACATTCTCTCTGCCAAACAAAGAAGATTAAAATGAGCAACCGAGAAGTGAATGTAGACAGTTGAACTGGAAATAAATTAGAGCTAAAATTGGAGGAACAAACACGAGAGTTGGGTATCTCAGATTGGAATAGTCTAATTTCGCCAAAACCAAGTGCCACAACTACAGAACAATTTCATTGACACTATAAATCAAACACTTTCCTAGCAAACATCAAATAACATAAAATAACAATAACAGCAGCAGAATTCACTTACCAGGGCAATGGTAGGCAGCCCAATTTCAAAAAAGAAAAAAAAAGACGAACTAAGCACATCCCCATTCCCATCGTCAGTCTCTTCTTTTCGATTTTCCCTAAAGGTCTCTCTCCCCAAGTCGAATCGTTTCTCAATCTCTTCAGGGTTTTTATCAAAGTGTTTGATATTGCGGTGGAGGGAGAGGAGCAGGGGTTGGGCTTCCAGGTTAACTTGCTGCCAAATCTGCTCGGCGTCAAACCCGTCGGGAATCCACCTATGATTTCAAATCAAAATTTCAAACGATAGAGAAGAGGCAGAGGAGAGGCGGAGGCGGAGGCGAAAGCGGAGATGATATGAGAGGAGAGGCAGAGACGAGAGGAGCTGCGGAGGAGAGGCGGAGCGGAGAGGAGAGGAGAGGCAGAGAGTAGATATGGTTAATGTTGAATCCAATTTAGAAGGGAGCCGAGACTTTTAGCAACGTTTTCTAAAACGAACGTTGCGAAACTATCGATAAAATTAAAAATAAAATGTGAAAAACTTCTTTCGCAACGTTTTTTAAACGCTGCGAAAGAAGCATATTTCGCAACGTTTAAAAAACGTTGCAAAAGATGCATCTTTCGCAATGTTTAAAAAACGCAGCAAAAGACACTTTTCACGGCGTTTTATAAACGCTACAAAAAGCTTTGTCTACCGCAACGTTTTTTAAACGTTGCGAAAAATAAAAAAATTTGCAACACTAAAAAACGTTGCAAAAAGGCAACATTAGCAACATTTACTTAAAAAATGTTGCTAAAGCTCAATTTTGTTAAGCAATAGCAACATTCATGTATTAAAATGTTGCGATAGATTCCTTTGGAACATTTAACTACCAAATGTTGCCTTTTTTGTGTTGCAAATGGTGTTTTTTGGCGTAGTGTCTGAACAGTGACGACTGTTCTGAAAAGGCTTGAAGGATGTTCGAATGGCCACGAACGATTCTATAACTTGCCAGTCCCACTGCCAAAATAATTACACCATTTTCACTGCAAATATTCTCTGCATTGAATCTCATTCTCCATCTCTCGTTCTGCTATTATTTTTCGGAGTAAATACACTTCATTGGGTTCGTTGGAACTCCTGCAGATTGTTGTACTGCTTCCGTAGAAGACGAAATTCGTTCTATCCTGGGAAACGAGTGCTGGACCTGGACGCCTTTAGCACCATTGAAGGCAGCAAATTCGTTTTAAGGAAACATCGTGAAGTCGGTGGGCTCGAATTGTTATTGTCTGATACTGTCAATCATATTGTTACGCTGTAAGGTAATTCTGTCGGATTGTTTGAAGGAGATACTCCAGAAGCAGCAAAAAGTCGGTGGGCTCGAATTGTTTTTGTCTGATACTGTCAATCATATTGTTACGCTGTAAGGTAATTCTGTCGAATTGTTTGAAGGAGATACTCCAGAAACAGCAATTCTGTCATTGTCGTGGATTATAGGACTATAGAATAAACAATTGATAAAATTTGTGACAAAGACATTTGATTTTTAGTTGGAAAGAGTTCATAAACTGTTTAATTATAAATAGATGAAAATGAGTTAGAATGTTGTTCGTTACCCTCCCATTCATCAACATATCTTACTAAGTCGACGTACATATTGGCATCATATTCATCCACGGAGCACGAAATGAAAATCTTTCATGTGTTATTTAAGCTGCAATATGTTGTGTAATACCAATTCTTCGAGGTGGATTCAGTTTTGAGGCTTAATTTGAGGTTGTGCCTCCTCATTTAGAACCGGGAGGGCCTCCAGGATATGGATATGGATTTGCTACGTAGCCTGGTGGGTCTTCATAACCGCCTCCACCTCCTCCAGGATATGGATATTTGGCTTCATTACCACCATTAGTCTTCTTCTCAACTTCTTGAGCTGAACAAATTTAAATAAATAAATAAAATTAATGATTCATGTTAGACATACAATAAAAAATGCTGATCATCAGATAAATTTTATAAGTAATTACAGTTAGAAGTCTCAGCCATTTCTCTAGCTGCTGCTACTTCTGAAGTAATTAGAAGAATCACTGCCAAGAAAATGCAAAAGAGAATTTTCTTGGAACCCATGTTTCTATCTGATTTATGAACACTGAATCTCGATATACTTTTTCTTAATGAGTATTTTGGTGTGTCCAGCCTCCATTTATAGTTAAATCTGGAGAGAAGGAGAGAGCACGATGTGTAATTAGAGGTGTGTATCTAACTAGTCTACCTTATCTATGAGATTCCTTTCTTACGTTGCCGAACGTTGAAATTTATTTAAACTCTTTTCTTATTACTAGTGTTGGCCCGTGCGATGCACGGAATTTCTAATTTTGAAGGTTTCGTTAGCATTGGATATAGAATCTCCATTGAACCGAGTAGAAAGTTTAAATATGAGAGAACATTGAATAATTAAGAGACATTTGGAGCAACATATTTTGTCAATAATATGAAGACTTATTTTATGTTATTATGAGATGGTAGAAAAATTATTTCTGTTAAATATAGGCAAAGAGAAATGTTGTAACATGTGATTAAGTGTAAAGGGCAATAAATTTGTATGTACCTTTGTGCATGCAATTATAAGATTCCTTTCTCAGTTTAAAAAGCATTGATCGAAACAAATATGAGTTGCAATTTTTCGTCTATATAAAGTCATCATGTCTGTTGAAACTGACTCTATTGGATATCCAAGCACAAAGCATTCTATGTACTTGAGCAAAAAAAGGCCACAGTTTGGCCTGTGGGACGAAATTGGTTTATGTTAAACGAAGATTAGTGTGATAAATAGATATTTGAGAATGAAATGTTAGAAAGAATAAGAAATAATTAAAATGCTTACCCAATTATTTACACAGGGTTGATATGCTGTAATGTCAACGTCTATAGATGTGTTTGCAGTTTTCTTCACGTAGCGTCTATAAACAAAAAATTCTGGTGCATTTAGCAGGACTACAGTTAAGTCTTTGACTGCATTTGAATGAGCTCTGATCAGGTCTGGCGTATGTACGTTGTTGCTACAGTCATAGATTTCAAATTTTCATTCAGGGATATTTACGTGATAGAGGTACCAATTGTTGCCCGGTAATGAACACGAAAGTAATAGATGTTTGCATCATATACACGGACGACCAGTGCCATTTACATAGTTTTGTAAAGTGGCTAGATTCCCTGAAGTTCTAATAGTGCCTTCTTTGTAGATTTCAGCGTGTAACATCATATGATTATTACATTCATTCTCGTAGTTGAAGTCTACAATTGCATAATCTTTTGATACGGGAAAAGAGTCGTCGTTGATGATTCGGCGTAACAATTTCAATTTCAATTCAAGACTCTAATAAAAAAATAGACGTAAATTAAATATAAGAATGTAATATATTATGATGAATGAATTTTACTTATCGGAACAGTGATATTTTGTGTTATGTCCATCGTGACTTTTATGAATTATCTTCCTTGGTAATTATTGGGTCCAATTTCCCAATATTCACTGTAGAAAATAATGTAATTTATTTTGACAGAAATGAAAGTAACGTAATAATATTTAAGGTAATGGAATAGAGGTAGATTAATTACTCTTGTGGATTGTGCATCACCCAATCTCTAATTGTTTTATATCTGGCGATAGAGTAGTCTTTTAAAGGATAGTTTGTTGGTGGCTGTGTCTTTTTTCCTTTAGTTTTCCGTTGTTTTGACAATCTTGTAACATCTTCAATTTGTTGAGAATAGTTTGTAAAGAATAGTTTGTTAATGGGAAGTTAAACTATTCTGAAAGTTTAATAAGTTTTCACATAAATCTTATAGAAATTGACATAATAATTAGTCAAACTTAATAAGGACAATATTGAAGTAACATTAAGATTAAAATGAAAGAAAACATGTGACATTGTTGTAACACAATGAACAAAACACAAGCTGGAAAACATTAGCAAATGATCAGCTTTTGAAGTAAGTACATGATGCACAAAATGACTACAAGCATATAGTCTGTAACTCTCGGTACAACTCTTGTGCTGTACAACGAAGCCGCGTTCAATTTCTTGGTACACCATGAAGAAGGGTTCGACCAAAGTAATGGGAACGAGTTCCAGGGAGAACATATAGAATACAGATGAAAGTTGGAGCTGTGTTACAATGAATTCCCAGACAGACATGAGGAAACCATGCTCAACTATATTTTCAACAATCATGGCAAGAAATTGAAAAGGCCAAGTTCGATGACAAATCATTGGCTCAAGATAGACAAAAGTGCTGCATTTTGATCCGCCTTACCTGATTTCATTGAACTTTCAAGCTCCCCAGAGGGCCAGATAGAATTGCCCCCACCAAAAGGTATAGAAAGTGAAAACAACTACACATGCATTGAAG